ACACCACAGGGACACTGGGACATGGTGGGAGCACTGGGGACACCATGGGGACATCAGGGAGACGTTATGGGGACATTGGTGACAACAGGAACACCACAGGGACACTGGGACACGGTGGGGGCACTGGGACATCATGGGGACATCAAGAAGACATTATGGGGACATTGGGGACAACAGGGACACCACAGGGACACTGGGACACGGTGGGGGCACTGGGACATCATGGGGACATCAAGAAGACATTATGGGGACATTGGGGACAACAGGAACACCACAGGGACACTGGGACATGGTGGGGACATTGGGGAGACACTGTGGGGACACTGGGGACAACAGGGACACCATGGGGACACTGGGGTCATCATGGGGACACCAGGGGGACTTTGTGGGGACACCAGGGACATTGTGGGGACACTGAGGACACTATGGGAACACTGGGACATCATGGGGACACCAGGGGGCTACCAGGACATCACAGGGAGACCATGGGGACACCAGGGACACTACAGGGACATAGTGGGGACACTGGAGACAACAGGGACACCATGGAGACATAGGGGGCATCATGGGGACACTGGGGGGATACTGGGACGTCATGGGGATATTGGGGACACCGTGGGGACATCATGGGGACATTGAGACATCATGGGGACACCTCAGGGACACAGGGACATCACTGGGACATGGTGGGGGCACTGGGGCATCGGGGGGGGCACCGAGACATTGTGGGGACAACAGGGGGATGTCAGGACACCATGGGGACATCGTGGGGTCATTGTGGGGACATTGGGGACAACAGGGACACCACAGGGACACTGGGACATCTTGGGGACACCAGGGGGATACCAGGACATCACAGGGAGACACTGGGGACACCACAGGGACATCGTGGGGACACTGGGGACAACGGGGAGACTGGGGACGTCATGGGGACACCACAGGGACACTGGGGACATTATGGAGGAACATTGTGGGGACACTGAGGACGCTATGGGGACATTGTGGGGGACAACAGGGACACCACGGGGACACTGGGGACACTGAGGACAACAGGGACACTGTGGGGACACTGGGGACATCATGGGGACACTGAGGACACTATGGGGACATTGTGGGATCATTGGGGACAACAGGTAGACCACGGGGACATTGGGACATCATGGGGACACTGGGGCATCGTGAGGGGGGCACTGGGGCATCGTGGGGACACTATGGGGACATTGTGGGTACAACAGGGACACCAGGGGGACATCAGGACATCATGGGGACATCACTGGAATATCATGGGGACACTGGGGACATGGTGGGGACACTGGGACATCGTGGGGGAACTGGCATATTGTGGGGGCACTGGGGACACCATGGGGATATCATGGGGACATTGAGACCTCATGGAGACACCACAGGGACTCGAGGACATCACTGGGACATCGTGGGGACACTGGGGACACCACAGGGGCACTGGGGACATCGTGGGGACACCAGGGGGACGTCGTGGGGACACTGGGACATCATGGGGACACTGGGGGGATACTGGGACATCATGGGGATGTCATGGGGACGCCACAGGGACACGGGGACATCACTGGGACACTGTGGTGACACCATGGGGACACTGTGGGGACATTGGGACATCACAGGGACTGGAGCTCAGGAGGCTCCATCCCACCACGAGGAGGAACCTCTGACCACGGAGGCTCCTGTGGGGTCTCCTGGAGATGTTCCCACCGTGGTGGGGGGGGGAGGGGGTGAACTGGGGGATCTCCAGACCTTCCTTCCACCTCCAGCGCTGCTGTGACCACCCAAAGGGGGGTGGGGGGTGGTCCCACCTCACCTGCTGTCCCCTTGTCCCCCAGGAACAAGGAGTGTCCCACCTGCAGGAAGAAGTTGGTCTCCAAGAGGTCCCTTCGCCCCGACCCCAACTTTGATGCTTTGATCTCCAAGATCTACCCGAGCAGGGACGAGTACGAGGCCCATCAGGACAGGGTCCTGGCCAAGCTCAGCAGGCTCCACAACCAGCAGGCCCTGAGCTCCAGCATCGAGGAGGGACTCAAGATGCAGGCCATGCACAGGTGGGACCCCAAAACACCTCAGAGCGCCCCAAAAATCTCCTCCAGAAGGTCCCATCCCCTGGTGGGACCTCAAAACCCACCAGAGAACCCACCAAACCCAACCCCAGAACTTCCCTGACCAGCAGACCCTGAGCAGGAGCATCAAGGAGGGGTTCAGGGTGGAGGTCATGGCCAGGTGGGACCCCAAAACACCTCAGAGCTCCCCAAAAATCTCCTCCAGAAGGTCCCATCCCCTGGTGGGACCTCAAAACCCCGCAGAGAACCCACCAAACCCAACCCAAGAGCTCCCCAACCAGCAGGCCCTGAGCTCCAGCATCAAGGAGGGAACCTGGTTGACCCGTGGTTAGTCGCAGTTGACCCTGGTTCACCTGTGGTTGACCCCAGTTGACTTGGTTGGCCTGCTGTTGACCCTGCGTGATCCATGGTTGACCCCAGTTAACCCTGTTTGATCCCAGTTGATCCATGGTTGACCCAGTTTGACCTGTTGGCCCTGGTTGACTCTGGTTGACTCCTGGTTGATTCTAGTTGAATTGTGGTAGAGTGTGGTTGACCCAGTTGACACCAGTTGATCCCAGTTGACCCATGGCTGAGTCTAGTTGACTCAGGGATGACTCCAGTTGACCAAGTTGACTTGTGATTGATCCCAGTTGATCTGTGGTGAACCCGGTTGATCCTTGTTGTCTCCTGGTTGGTCCCAGTTGATTCCACTTGAACCCAGTTGATCCCTGGTTGATTCCAGTTGACTCCATTTGACTCATGGTTGATCCCAGTTGATCCACGGTTCACCCAGTTGACTCCATTTGACTCTTGTTGACCCCAGTTGATCCATGGTTAACCCGTTTGACCCATGGCTAACCCCAGCTGACCTGTGGTTGATCCATGGGTGATCCCAGTTGGCTCATGATTGACCTATGGTTGGCCCAGTTGACCCCAGTTGACCTGGGGTTGACTCCAGTTGACCCCATTTGACCCATACACGAAACCAGTTGACACATGGTTGACCAGGTTGATCTACGGTTGGTCCAGTTGACCCCATTTGACCTCAGTTGTCTCATGATCAACCTGTTTGATTTATGGTTGACCCCAGTTGACCTGTGGTTGATCCGTTGTTGATCCTTGTGTACCCCTGGTTGAACTGGTTGATCTACCGTTGGCCTGTGGTTGACTCCAGTTGACCCCAGTTGCCCCATGGTTGACCTATTTGATCTACAGTTGGCTGAGTTGACCAGTGGTTGACTCCAGTTGACCCGTGGCTGACTCCAGTTGACATTTGCTTGACTCCAGTTGACCAGTGGTTGACTCCAGTGGCCCCACAGTTGACTTGTCCAACCCACGCTTGGCCCAGTTGACCCCCAGTTGACTCCAGTTGCCCCATGCTTGAACTCCAGTTGCCCTGTGGTTGGCTCCAGTTGCTCCACAGTTGACTTGTCCAATTCACGCTTTGCCCAATCGCCCCCAGTTGCCCCGTGGTTGACTCCAGTTGACCAGTGCTTGACTCCAGTTGCCCTCTGCTTGACTGCAGTTGACTAGTGCTTGACTCCAGTTGCCCCATGCTTGAACTCCAGTTGCCCTGTGGTTGGCTCCAGTTGCTTCACAGTTGACTTGTCCGACCCCCGCTTGGCCCAGTTGGCCCCCAGTTGACTCCAGTTGCCCCATGCTTGAACTCCAGTTGCCCTGTGGTTGGCTCCAGTTGCTTCACAGTTGACTTGTCCGACCCCCGCTTGGCCCAGTTGGCCCCCAGTTGACTCCAGTTGCCCCATGCTTGAACTCCAGTTGCCCTGTGGTTGGCTCCAGTTGCTTCACAGTTGACTTGTCCGACCCCCGCTTGGCCCAGTTGGCCCCCAGTTGACTCCAGTTGCCCCATGCTTGAACTCCAGTTGCCCTGTGGTTGGCTCCAGTTGCTTCACAGTTGACTTGTCCGACCCCCGCTTGGCCCAGTTGGCCCCCAGTTGACTCCAGTTGCCCCATGCTTGAACTCCAGTTGCCCTGTGGTTGGCTCCAGTTGCTTCACAGTTGACTTGTCCGACCCCCGCTTGGCCCAGTTGGCCCCCAGTTGACTCCAGTTGACCAGTGCTTGACTCCAGTTGCCCTCTGCTTGACTGCAGTTGACCAGTGGTTGACTCCAGTTGACCCATGGCTGACTCCAGTTGACCAGTGGTTGACTCCAGTAGACCAGTGGTTGACTCCAGTCCTCCCCAGTCCCTTCCAGTCACCCCGTTGCCCCGCGCTTGCCCCCAGTCACCCCCAGTCACCCCCAGTCGCCCCCGCAGGGCCCAGCGGGTGCGGAAGCTGCACCAGGAGTCGGACAACGCCACCTTCAGCGGGGGGGAGGACAACTGTGACAGCAGGTCCCACCTCAGCACCACCTCAGCCCCCGGGCCCCCCGAGGCCGGGCC